CCAGGTGAACTTTCTATAGTTCAGGTGAACTTTCTATAGTCCAGGTGTACTTTGTATAGTTCAGGTGAACTTTCTATAGACCAGGTGAACTTTCTAAAGGAGGAAAGATAAAAACAAACATGTTAAGAAAGAAATAAATACAAACAGGTAGAGTAGAGCAAGTAAAGACAGCAGCAGGGAGAGAATGTGGTCAGTTTGTCCTCCAGCAGTCTAAGCCTATAGCAGCAGAACTAAGGGAAAGTTCAGGAAACCCAAGCTAACCCTAACTATAGGATTTATCACAAAGAAACGTCTTCAAACTGGACAATGTGTCAGCCTCATGGACAGAAACTGGAAGTTGGTTCCACAAGAGAGGAGCCTGAGAACTGAAAGATCTTCCTCCCATTCTGCTTTTGGAAAATCTAGGAACCACAAGTAAACCTGCAGTCTGAGAGAGAAGTGCTCTGTTAGGAAAATATGGAACAATAAGATCTGTAATATGGTGAAGATTCTCAGTCATTCAGGACATGGTTAATTAAAAAAAAAAAAAGGTTAAAAACTAAAGAACTGGACTTTTATTTTGTAACAGAAGACGTTTCTCATTCGAGGAGCTTTCTCAAGTCAAAGAACAGAGAGTGTAGTTCGAGTTATAAAGCTGAGCTAAACTAGATACATATGCAGATTGTCCTATCATTCCTCACAATCTGAGTTCGTTAGGGTCTTTGTTAGTCTGAGGCCAAGGAGCCACTCTGGTCACATGGCTAGAAGTGAAACTGGCTGGGAATCGGTCCTAAAGCTGCATTATATGTTTTTGAAAGTTGAAATCTGAGGCCCCTCTCAAACCATCTGTCTCCTCGGCCCAAGATGTGAACGTTCGGTCCTCAAATGAGTGTCTTATCCCTGAGGTGCAGGTGAACAGCTGAGTCTTGTCCTGAAGAGCTGGCTCTCCTGTGCTGAGCCATGCGTCTGTGAAGTTAGGTTGTTGAGAGCTGTGAAACTTTAAAAGACTTGGAAAAAAGTTAAAATCCAATAAAATGATGTGACTCTGTAAATTGTGTACGTTCAGTGTAAGATGTTGGGACGTTCCTGTCCGGTGTTTGTCTTCAGATCAGCACTCAGACGGAGGCGGTGAAGCCCCACTCTCCTGCCGCTCCAAAGATCCTGAAGAACAAAGCTCTGCTCTGCAGACCGCTGGTGCAGAACAAAGGAGTTTCCTGCAAAACGCAGACTGTCGATGGGGAAGCCCAGACAGGTGAGCACAGACAGACGTCTCTGCAAACCTCCAGCTGCTGCTTGTTTTTGATTTAGCGTTCAAACGTCAGACTGCAGAGAGACCTGCAGTCTGCTCGTACATTTATCTTTAAAATTATAGAAAAGAGAAATCGGTGAAAAAAGGATTTCATTCATAGAAGAGACGCTGATTTCTGAAAGTTCTGTCTCAGTTTAAAGAAAACGCAACAAAACAAACGAGTTCAGGCAAAGTCTCAACGTCTAGACGGAGCCGTTTGACAGCAACTGACAGGAAGTTACATCATCACCCACTGGAGCGGAGCTGGGTGCTGATCGAGACGAGTAAGAAACAACTGCAAACCTAAGAATGAAGGGAGGAGACGACCGGCAGGAGGAGACGGCCGGCAGGAGGAGACAACCAGGGCGGAGGAGGAGAAGACCGAGGCACAGGAGTAAATAGATGCATAAAAGATTAACACAAACAGAAAAAGTATCTTGACACATTAAAAGATCAGATAAAGGACAAATAACAATAATTATTATTATTATTACAATAATAATATTAACAATAATAATAAAAGTGTGAAAGATGCATAAAAATATTAAAAGAGACGCCATGAGACAAAGAGGAAGCATCTAGAGACCGGAGGCACTTTCACAACGTTTCTGTAACATGGCCGCCGGGTCCGGTCCGTCTTCACGCTGCCTTCATAAATCACGGACGGAGACGGTCGCCTCCTGCAGAGCGGCGAGCTTTCAGAAATGAAGCGAGCGTCGCGCAACCAAAGGAGGCGTGGAGCAGAACTCAGCCGAGTTGACGTGGAGCCATCGTCTGACGTGACAGCGTTCACGTTAAATCATGAGTTTTACAGACGGAAGCTTTACTTTGAAAGTTTTCTCTGACTCATTTCATCTTTCTGGTTCTGTCCGGTCCGTAACGAGCTGCTCCGTGGGTTTTAATGTAATTTAAACTTTTTGTTAAAACTTTCAGCTTCTCCGGTTTTCAACCAAAATGTTCGATTTGTTGCCCTAAATTAACGACAGATCTTCAGAACGTCCTCGCTCAGATTTGTGTTTCCTCCTCTCTCCGTAGATGACAACTTTCCAAAGATCCTGGTTCTGCCGGTCCCTGTGCCCGTCTACCTGCCTGTCCCCATGAACATGTACAGCCAGTACACTCCAGAACCCATGGGCCTGCCCGTACCTGTAGGTTCAGCTGCAGCGCCGCTTGGAAGTCGGTGCAGGCGATACAGTGCTGATTTATTTTCTTTGATGTTTCACGTGTCAGCTGCCGGTGCCGATGTTCCTGCCCGTGACGATGAACAGCGCCGAGCGCATCGTGGAAACCATCCAGGAGATCAAGCAAAAGATCCCGTCGGACCCGTACGAGGCCGAGCTCATCCTCATGGCCGAGATGGTAGCCGAAGACGACGACGACAAACAGGAAGCCCCGGAAGAAAAAACAGCTGGAGACGAGCCGGAGAGGCAGGAGGCTGCTGTACCTGAAGGTGGGCGTCGGCTAACGAGAGAAATCAGCCGAATGTTACAGTTTTCTGTAACATTCTTTGTGAGCAGCTGAAATCTGCTGAAGAAGCTGAAACTGAGTCGTTAAAAGAATCAGAACAAAGAATTAAAATGCAAGCTGTGAAATGAAAGAAGCAAGAACACTAGCTAAAGACCAACTAGCATAAATATAGCAAAAGGATAGCTAAAAGTAGCAATAGATTAGCTAAAAGTAGTAAAATGTTAGCTAAAAGCATCTAAGGGCTAACGAGAAGCTTAAAATTTCAAAACGTCAGCTAAAAGAAGCAAAAAGTTTTTTTAGATCCAACAAGTGTCAAAACTTGGATAAGAACTATAGTTTAAAAAAAATCTGCTTAGTAACCACAAGCTTCTAAATTATTAAAAGACCAGCTAGAAGCTAAAAATTACAAATGGCTAGCTGAAAGAAGCTAAAGGTTGCCTAAAAGCTAAAAGTATCAGAAGCTAGCTAAGATCCAGAGTTAGTTAAAAGTTGCTAAAATTATCAAAAGACTAGTTGGAAGCTAAAAATAACAAATGGCTAGCTGAAAGAAGCTAAAAGTTGTCTAAAGCTAAAAGTATCAGAAGTTGGCTAAGAGCCAAAGTTAGTAATAATCTGGTAAAGTAAAATGTTAGCTTAAAAACCTCAAAAGCCTTTCTGAGCTAAACATAACAAGGGCTAGCTGAAACAAATAAAAGGCTTAAATGCCTGAAATAGCAAAAGGCTAGCTAAGAGCTAAAGTTAACAAAAGCTTTGCTAAAGTTAGCTTATGAAGCCGAAGCAGAGCCGTAGCTGAAGTGTACGTCTGAATGAACTCCGATAAAAACATGAAAACAACCGAGTGGCTCAGCGTTCAAACAACAAACAAACAAACATGGAGGATCTTTTTATTTTCAAGCTGATGACTAAAACTCGTGTTTCTTCCTTCAGACCACATCAGCACGCTCAGTGACGACCTGGACACGGACGACTTGGACAGTTTCCTGAACAACTGGGAGGACCCGTCCTCCGACAGTCTGAAGCTGTCCGCCCGACCGGACGCCTCCGAGAAGCTCGGCGCCGTGGACAGTCCTGTGAGCGAGCCGTACTGCGAGCCGCCGCCGCCCGTCATGGACATCGAAAACGACTTCACCGTGGGTGAGGACAGCAGACCCGTCCTGGGTGAACTTCTGCTCACCCCGTTTGTTTGTTTGTTTGTTTGTTTGTTTATTTCCTGTGTTTTTGTCAGAAACTCTGGAGAGGATGGCCCGGCTCAGAGAGAACTGCAACAGGTCTCCGAATCCCACCCCGGTTCAACGGAAACAGGCTCCCAGGAAGGCCCGAGAGAAGCAGGTCGGTGTCCGGGTCGGGGAGCGGTGCCGTCGGGCCGCCGCATCCCGTCTCGCCTCCCGTCTCGCCTCCCGTCTCGCCTCCTCTCGTCTCGCCCCCTCCCGTTTTGCCCCCTCCCGTCTCGCCTCATCCCATCTCACCCCCTCCCGTC